AAGGAAGGAAGGAAGGGAGGAAGAAGGAAGAAGGAAGGAAGGAAGAGGGAGGGAGGGAGGGAGGGAGGGAGGAAGCCTCCTACAAGCAAAGTCAATGAGGAAGCCTTCAGCAAGTCATAAGTCACTCCCACTCCCACTACTTTTTTGTCCTAGGTCATTGTATTTCTCTGTTTAGGTAAGGAAATATCTCTGAAAAGGTGACCCAACGGGTCACGGGTTGTCTAGTATCATTCCCCAACCTGGTACTTTCCAGATATGCTGGACTGCAAACAGTGTAATTCTCAGCCATCCAGATTCCACAATGCTGCATTATTTGGGGATGATGGGAACTGTACTTCCGATATAAATTTGGAGGGCACCAAGCTGTGAAAGATCATCCTAATACTAATAAATAAATTATGGCTAAATTATACAGGATAGTGGAGACAATGAGTCCTAGCTACATGGCAGTTCCTAGATGACCTTGGGTGATCTCAAAATGTAGAATTGGACCTCGTTAGTCCTTGCAAGAGAGACCACCATATGTTCCCAAGGCTGTAATTTAGATTAGACTGAAAAAACTTCCCACAAGCATGGGTGTCCATAGCAGGCAAGAAAGCAAATGACAAAATGTGCATGGATATGTTATCATGCAAATGCCACAATGCATGTACTTATATCTGACTTGGTGTCACAAGTACATAAAGGTGGCATTTATGTGATGTTGACACACATATATCATTTTGTCATTGTCATGGTTTGCTGCAGACACTGCTGCCCAGAGGAAAGCAAGAAGACTGCATGGTCTTGTTCATGAAATCACCAGGAGTTGAGCCTGATTCAAAGGAGACTTTGCTTTTATAGGCAACAAAACATTTGACATGCTTCCTTTTTATTTGTTTCATTCACTGCTTGGTTTCTATGGGAGCTCCAGAGAATGTTAGCTGAATCTTACCGATGCTGCTGGAATCTTTTGGTTTGATTTACACATGTAAAAACTGTCCAAACTCTGTCCACAGTTGCATCAAGGTGGTAAGGGAGCTTTTCCCAAACTACCTTCAGGTGTGTTGGATTTGCAGTCCTAGAACTCCCAACCAACCATCCCCAACTTAAGTGGAAAGCACTAGGTTGGGGAGAGCTGAATTAATATTAGAAATGCATTTCCACAAATCAAGTTGGTACCTACATATATATTTCAGCCAGCTCACATATTTCTCCTGGATGTGGCACTGGTATAGAATTGATTTTTGGAATTTATCACCACAGCAAGTGCCTGTGATATGACAGTCCTGAGAAGAAGATGCTTTGTCTATTTTTTTCAAGGCTGGCAAAAGCAAAGATTTCCCCCCCCCCCACAATTTTGAATCCACTACTAAATTATATGAAGTCATGGAGCCTTCATGTCATAGGTGCTGATAGGAAGGTCAAATATTTGGATACAGAGATCCCAGTGTATAAGGAATTCCCATCACAGCCTAGCAGCCAAGCTTTATAAGTACAGTTCCCATTGCCAATACAGGGGCTTTACTTTGTGTGTGTGTGTTTGTGTGTGTATTCATTCATTCATTCATTCATTCATTCATTCATTCATTCATTCATTCATTCATTCAAATACGACTTGCTGGCTGAAGCTGGTACCCCCTATTTCTATGCAAAAGTGGAACTTTTCTTTCTACTTCCTCCCTGTGTCACCCATAAAATTATTTAACTGAGATAAAGAAAAGGAATGTAAAATCATTATGCTTTGTGCTCTGTCTGCTACATACTATTTTACTTTGTGAATGAGTTATTTATTAAAAGTGTGGCATATTCTGAATTGTTGGTTAGTTCCTTATTCTGAACATCAAATGCTGGTCCATATATTGTATTTACTCTGGAAAAATGTTTTCTTCAAACTCCCTTCTCTCTGTTACTGCTCAGAAGTAAAGGGGCGGTAATACCAAGTGGGACATCACCATACCGTCCCTCCCTCCCCTCAAACGTAATACCATGAAGAATAAGTCATATTTGCTAGTGGCACTTTACAGCAGTGATAAACATTCAGAGAATATACTGGAATGAAAGCAGAATATGTTTTAAAGCAATATTCATTGAGTGGTTTAGCTTGCTTGCATATGTTTTTTGAAGGTACAGGTATGCAAATGGTTCTGGCCAGTCCTGCTCTTCTTGCTTGTGACATATGGAGAATAAAAAGCTCAAGATGGCTGTCATGGCTGTGAAATCGAAGCCACACCCTTGAAATGACACACTTTAAAAAGGGTGGAGCTTTGATTATGCGATTGCAGCCTCCCCCCTTGTAACTCTCCTGATTACAGATGAAGGATATTGCAAAAACAGTTGGCTGTTTCTGTTTTTTCCCCAGACTAATACTTTTAATAGCCTTTGGAAAACAGTTCATAGAGTAGCAGTGTGCAGTTACCTGAATTTTTTTGAAACGACCATGCTGGGCTGCCAAACCTTCAGTAATTACAATGGTTGAAGAAACCATAGATGCAGAGATGAAATAGTCATGGAAGTGGCTTTAAGCAAATAAAAGATTGCTTAAGTTGTCCACTTGGTACACTCTAAGGACTCTAAGCACTCTAAGAGGTTTTAATATGATACAGATAATTTTAATGCATTTTCCCCATTTAATTTATGATGGAGAAATGCTTCCTTGCCTAGTCTTTATTTCTCTGCCTAATGGTTGGGCTGTCATCCTGAAGTGAAATTGATGGCATGATTTTACTTTACAGCTGTTGGGTTGTTGTTGTTTTTTCAAACTTCAGCTGCTTCCTATAATTCTGCAGATGGGAAACATATGTTTATGGACATACAGTGTGCACACGCAAAAAACACAGACGCACACTGTTATTAGTAATAGCAGTAATATTGGTTTAGACATCTTTAATTCTTATTTGATAGAAACAGCTGACATTGAAGAACTGATGGATATTATCCATGTATATGTTAATATTTTTATACATCAACACTTTGAAACAGCAGGATAGCTGCTAATAGGATAACAAACTGCCAGTTTTTACAGATCATAATGAGAGCAGACAAGTGCTTTTCTTTGGTCTGTGGATGTCTGAGTATTTTACTAACTCTGCAGGGCAAAAACACATAATTGGCTGTATTTTAAGCTTGCCCGTAAGAATTTTACAAGTGTTAAATTTTGTTATTAACCAGTGCAAAAACGTATCCTTTTAACAGTTTATAAGCAATGTGTGTTTCTTGTCCTTATATTTACACACTCAGCAGAAAGCCTCCTTTTCCTTATAAACAAATAAGTTGTTTTAGAGTTTTAGTGTACAAAACTTTTTTGTAAATATCTTCACGAAAAAGAGTGTATTTAAACCAATACTTTTCTTTTGACTCTTTGAAGGGATTATACCTACAAAGTTCTACATTATTATGAAAATTATACTAATCTTATTTTGGTTATTAGGAGTGAAACAGTATGTATTTTCTGCTTCTCTTTTTAAGAAAATAATAATTGCAAATATTTAGGATGTAATCTGTTTCTATCCCTTGTGTTATTCAGTGCCACATTCAGGTGTTTTTTTTCTTCCTTATGTTAATCAGGTCCTTACTGGATTATATTGAATTCTTATAGTTCAGAAGATTTTTTTGTTGGAAAGAAAAAGATCTAACGATATAAAGGAAAGTTTCATAGCACTTTCCAAACCGGATTCCTACTGAAAAGTTCTACCTGTAAGATCAATATGGTGTTGTGTTAGTGAGAGTGGAAGCCATTTAAAACATGCAAAGTATCTTCTTAAAGTGTAGTTGGGAATAAGCAAAAGACAAACATTAAAGAAAGAGTGTGCATTCTGTTTCTGTCTCCTTTAAAAAAGAGAAAAAAATCAAAATATTGCAGATGTAAAGAAAAACAAATAATGCAGAAGTGTTGAGCATTCATATTTGATATATGATATATTTTGAGGAATCTCCATACCAAAATAGAGCATCAGAGAGATCTTAAGGATGAATCCTTTTGACTAGTATATGTTTTCCAATAATACCGTAGAAATTAAATAGAAGA